TTGTGTGTGTGTGTGGGTATTTAATGGGTGTGGAGGGTTTTTGTTGTTTTGTACGGTGAGGTGAGTTTGGTGAGTGGGTTTGGAAGGGAAGAAGGGTGGCAGTGACAGCTAAGGGTTTAGTAACACAATGCCATATAATTGGCTGGGTTTTAAATTTTAATTTCTGCATTTGAATTTCAGTTTTATAATTATTGTTGAGGTTATTATTATTATTATTATAATATATATATATGGATTGGATTTATTATTTATGTTCAGGCTCTTTGATTTTAGGATATGAAGTTATTTTCTTTTAAATTTGCTGCATGTATAGATAATTAATTAATAATAATTGTGTGTGTGTGTGTGTGTGTGTGGAACTGTGGATTATCTGTATGTATTTATTTATTTGCTTGGATTTGGGTACCTGCAGCCTGGTAGGTGTATAGAAAAATGTTGAGATGCTATAAAGATATGTTTGAGATGATTGGTATTGACAAAAAAATAAAAATATTTTGACATTATTTACGAGAGGAAAGCTTTGGAATTGCATATCAATGACTGCATGTTGATCCAATAGAGTATAGTGACCTAGCATAAAATTCATTTAATTGAAGAACTTATGATTTGTTTCATATAATTTTCGTATGGTTACTAGCGAGTGCTTTTTGATAGTGACTTCGGATAAAATTCTATTGTAGAACTTATGATTTGTTCCATAGTATAATTTATGTCTCGTTATTAGCAAGTAGCTGATTGTAATAGTTGAAGGTAAATTTGACTAATAACTTGTATTAGTGGTTTGTAAATGCGTGTTTAGTAAATGGTCCTTTCTAACCGACGTGGAGTCTTCCTCTTCTCAAGTGGCCATGACGGTTCTTCGAGTGGTATTTCGATGGGTGGATGACGGCATTGTTAGCTCCGACTTTTGCTTGAAAGTGGCCGGAGTAGAGACCGACAACTTCTCCTCCCTTGTGCTTTGTACTTTCCTTTCCTAGTGTTGGGGGGATATATAGGGTGTTCCGGCAGTGCCGGGTCGCGTCTTCGGTCGTGCTTGTCCAGGGCCGCCGGTTGGTTTGGAGGGAGGGGCTGGTCGCGTGTTTTCGATCGCTGTTCCATGGTTGTCCTTTCGAGTAGCAGTTTGGTCCGCTTTAGGTCTGGGTCTAGTCAGTCATAGCTTTACTGGAGTTTCTATATCTGTCCTGGGCTTTCTGTTTTCTTGAGTGGTTGTCTTTGGGTGTTGGTTTGACGGGTGGGGTGGAGGCTCATAATTTCTTACCGGCTGGCGGGGAGGGCTTTAGTTTATTTTTTAGGTGATGTTTTTGTTTTGGATTTGTTTTTGTAGGTTTGTTTGTTTTTGTGTTGGTTTTTATTCTCCTAGTTGAGAAATAGTATTCCCATTTGTAGAAGTTTGTATTCTTGTTTTTTCTTACTTGTCTTGTGGTGCGTCCAATATAGCGGATTCTAGGTTACATTCATCTGCGATGTGTATGCTTCTATCTGAATTCAGTTGTATAGTTATTTGTGGATTATAATTATAAGTTTGTTATTTATAAAACTCTACATTGTTTAAAAAAATGATTCTACTATTTTCGACACAATCATTATTTTTTCTCGATTATAGTTTAATGTTTCAACACTAATATTGTTCAACATTAATTTAAAAAAAAAAAGCTCAAATTAATTTATGTCCATTTAAAAATATTATTTTCAATTTGCATAAGTGAAAGTTAATAGTTGACTGCAGTAGGATAGATTGGTAGAAAATTATTGTAGTACGTGATTTGGATACTCCATTATAGCCAATAATTGGTAGTAGTTAATTATCATGTAATATGACAAATAGACATAGTAGTCACAACTTAGTTATTTTGCATTTGTTAATAATGTGTATTTATATGTTTATATAATTATTAAACAATCAAAATGAAGCTACAACATTTGTGTGTTTTCTAAACTACGAATTGTACATATATATTATTATTTAATTGATACTAACGTTGATACCCGGAGTATATATATACTTTTCAAAAGATATTTTATTATTTAAATATTATTAAATTGTTTAAAACAATATACAATTATATTCAAGAATCAAGACAATATCAAATTATATTCAACACTATATTTTCAGTAATAAGTCAATGCCATCAAATCAACAAAACTTGATGAAAAAAAAAATGATCATAATAAAGATCAAAAGACTGACGAAACTTACTAGGGGAAAATGCAGTCACTAACCCTCTCCACAACTACTTTTTCTCATCACCATTGCTGGATGCAACCAAGAAATAGAAAAGGTAAAAAGCCTTTTATTTTCTGGTAATTCTTATATATTTTTTTAATTAGTTGCGCCGTGCGTTTATTCTGTGTTGTGAAGATTATATATGGGATAAAAATCTCACCTTGTTGTGCTAATGGTGCTGTTAATCGCCATTGATGCTTATGCCGCGAAGCCCACTTGTTCTTCGAGGTCGATTCAATGTGAGGACCGGAATTTGTGGATACCCAAACGACGTCGTGGCCTGAGGATCTTCTGGGTCATGTTTTGAAGCGGCAAAGACTGATGCTTGCAGCTCATAATAATACTCCGATCAGCCGCCTGTCGACTATGGAATCGACTTGGGTTAGTGTGTTTTTATTTAGCTTCAATTTTTTCATTTTGGTTCTTGTTTTTTCCTTGTTTCTTTTGACTAATTTTTGAGATTGTGTGTTTAAGCAATGTGCTTACAACTATGTGGTGTGTCAACAATCTGATGCTATGTGTTATATCTGTATTTAAGTGTGTTAGCCTGTTAGGGGTCGAAACGGGGACTCTTTTTTCTTTTTAAGTTGTTATATATATGTTGGAGATTATAGCTTAAATTCATTGCTCTGAGGTAATATAACATCCTAAACGTTTTTTTATTTGATTTCCGAGAGCAATTTTATGTACCATATGTTATTCGAGTGGTTTTTCATTTATGCTTTCGACAGAATGAAACGTGAATTCAATTTTGTGAAGTGCTCAACAGATTGTTATTGACGTGCAGTAAACACCAGCATCTTAACTTGTAATGGATAAAAATTGAATTATTTTTTTCATTTGTTTGCTATTTATTCATAATAATGTCGATGCGTGCTATCCACGGAAACGAAGTAAATAAAAATTTAGTAATTATGATGTAACATTATACCGTAGGCATTCTCATTTTTTCATTTATTTCTTCTCAAGCATACGCACACGTGGGAGGAAAAGCTCAAAAGATATTATGGCCTGGATTTTTTTCTTAATTGTGTCAAAGATGGCCAATCGAGTCCCTTTACGTTGATTGGTTTATCATCACCTCAGTGATGTAACCTTTTAAGTTCAAGATGATAGGTGAAGTAGAACTGACCCGTATTCGTGGGGCACTCTTCTATTTTTAGTTGTTGATATGCGACAAGATACGTGACGTTCATCTTTTTATTATTTGTGGTTGATATGGAAACATTTTTATAGTATATACCTGTAGATTTGTTTGCTACAGTTGTCATGGTTGGTCAAGCAGCGAACAAAGACGCGTTTCTTGGTTGTAATGTGGTACACAAACTTAATTATCTCCGAACCTATTTGTCATTTTGCTGCGTCATTATCTAGAAAACAGAAGGAGTTTTACTATAATCGTCATCGGGTGATTGTCAATATAGTTTACAGCCTTAAACAGGGGCGAAGCCATAAATATAATTAAGGAGGGGCAAAAGTCAATAGTATATAATTTAAAAAAATATTAGGGAAGTTTACATTGTATAATAATAATTACCAAAGCCAAATGTCACTCTACAATGGACTTGAGAAAGAGATAAAAGTAAATTTTGCCTATGTAGCTTTAAAAGATTTCTCCAAAATTATAAGCTATCAAAATTGCTAAGACCCCCCTTTTCTTCAAATTATGAAAGCTAGTTATTCATTTGTCAAGTTATATGTATCCTCGTTCATGTTCATTTCTTCAATTTACCTTTGTTATTTGCCTTAAGGATTAAATTAGGTACAGTCGATGAGAACCTCTTTTGTTGATACTTGATAGGAACCTGATGGTTATTCTGTTGGCTAGTTTTACATGTCACTTCTCTTTCAAAATTTTTATTTGAATGGTGAATGATGTGTAAAGCGCGTAATTAGCAATTTCAGTAGTCGTAAGTAGAATAGCTATCATTGAACATGGTTTGCATGTTTTTCTTTTCGTTTTTTGACAATTTGTTCATGTTGTTTTTCTTTAAGAAAGGAATATCATTATGAATGATGAGCACAAGCGAACACTGGAAAGGGTGCATCTGTACTATTTACTTTTGGAAATTTTTTAAAAAAGGAAAATCATAACACCATACTATCATGACTTTTGAGTTTGAATTGATAATGTGATTACCATACGCTATATGTGTTTATTATATGGTGACGATGTGGGCCCCGGGTGAGTTCAAGTGAAGGTAAAAATAGTTTGAAATTCCTGAATTTTGGTCTTAGTGATTGTACTTATTCAGTTTGTCTTTGTTTTGTGCTCACTTACTACTATTATCATTATTGCTGAATAGCAAGTAGGAAACTGATGGAATAAGGACACATTTTTGGGCTAATCATTGTAACATCTAAAGAAAAGTTTTTTGGCATATTTTTTAGATGGTCTGTCAATATTGTCAAAGGCCAGTAGATATGTAGTTGTGGATATTAATTATATTAGCTCTAATTAAAAACCTAGATGAAAAGGTGATCCTTGGAATCACTTGGAGTGAATTCATTACGAAGTGCTGATGTATATTAAATATTTATGTAAAACTTTGAGCGACTATCACTTGTTGCTATGCTATCAGTTCCCCATCAACTCTTTTGGTTTTCTCTTATGATCATTGAGCTTCTTTGTTATAGACGTCACGTTCTCATTTGCATTACAGTTTTGAAAGCTAGGATGTTCTATTTGGAATTTGCCATTAAATTGATTTTTAATGACGAAGATTGTCATTCTACATTCTAAATTTCCATGCAGAAAGCTTCCTCTTGGGCTTCCGCTTGGTTTTTGACTGCGAGAATTTGAAGCTTGGCTGATCTACACCTCCAATTGTGTGTAAAAATGTTGCAATTTGAGTTTTCACTGTCTTTGCTTGTTATATCTTCTTCTACTGTCTATAAACCAACACACCATGGGAACTTATGAAAATAATCAAATTAACTTGGGGACGCATGCAGAAGACGGCAAGACACACCGAATTTATGTAGGAAGGGCTCGTTTGGGCCAATGAATTATATGGATTGTTTTGTTGAAGATGTTAATATGTGCTTAAAATAACCATATGTAAACAAGATCATCATTGGAGACTCGGAGTTTCTAATGTTTTAGCTTTTGATTATTTTTATTGTAGATCTAATTTAGGATGTTGTGTAGCCTGTCTTGGGCACTCCCTTTAGCATCTTTTTCCCCGTTAATTTTTTCTATTTTCACTTTCACTGCCACATGTTTTTCAATCATACTCTTGCCTCTTGTTTGTCGTCTAATTCACTTTTATCCTCGTTGCATCTTGTCAGCATCGTGCAATATGTCTTTTGCCGTTACTGCTTTGAACTGCATACATGGCCTAATCAATATTAAGGGGTTTGTCTACAGTGAGTGTTATTGTGAAATATCAATTTTCAGTTCCAAAATCCAAGTATTGGTTTTACATTGGTAAACCTACAAAGGTATTGTCTGAATCTTCTGAGTTCTAACAACAGTTCATTTATGTTTTGTGATTTGATCCAACAGCAAAAAATCGAGTGAGGGCAAGTAGGATCTGGCCTTCTCAATTGAGCATTGCAGATTTTGGAGTTCAAAAAGCTCAAAATAGAAACGTTGTTTTGATATGGATGTCTCGAATTTGTTCCATTAAAAGGAATTTCGGCTTACAAGCTTTTCAGTACTTAAAATACCAGCTTTTGGCTCACATCATTACAAACCATGAAAAGGCTGCAAATATTCAAGGAATTTTTCTGAAACAAATTATCACATTTTCTCATATAGAAACCAAAATTCTGACTCATGAATTCTAACATTCAGACACATTACCATAATCGAATCATAAAGATATGCATAACCATGTTATGTTCCTCAAATCAAGCTTTATGAACAACTACAAAGCAAAAATATCCATTAACTTAATGTCACAGATATACAAACGCCGTGAATCAAAAGTACATCGATTAAAGAAACAATTCCATATAATTGATCAACGAAAAGTTATTAGACATAATATTATACGACAATAACAGAAAATCTCAACAAGCAAAGTTCTCAAATTTAATAAACACTAAACCTTAATAACGTGTGTTATCAAAAACCCAAGGCTCATGCGCAAAAAGCTCACGACCGTTCATTTGAACCAGTCCTGAAGCTATGTCCTCAGCACGTTTCCTTTCAGCTTCAGCTTTTCTGGCAGATGTGTTAGCAACCTGCAAGAAACAAGGTGCAGAAGGCATAAACTTCGAGGAACCCAACAGAAATAAAATAAAAGTCCCAGATTTTGATATCCATTACAATATACTTGCTGACCTTCCAATGTACTATTACATTTTCCAAATCCAAATTCCACGTACGTCTTGTTTCTTTCCAGTAAATGGTACACTAATATCCATTAAGCACATTTTGAAGGATTGAAATGCATTCACTAGAAATCAGCTAATGTGACCTAGATTTGAACAGAAATCGACTACAATAAAAAAAAATATTGTATAGTGTTATTTGAAGAGCTATCTAGAACTTCATTAGCTAAACATTGATGGGCTAATATGCCAATTTACAATATTTCGGGAAGGTGCCAAGTAAGTACTCGTGATTCCATATTGTGTTGATTAAACAGAACATATTTTGGATAGTTACATTGACACTCACTCAACTGTGACGAAACAGATATTACCCAATCAAATAAATAGAACAAAAAATTCAATTGCACCGAAGCTTCAAATATAAGGCCATTTCTTTTCTTTGAGCAGAGGAAATATAAACACGAACCAATGCTCTATAGTCAGAAGATTCGACCCTAGTGATGATTGTTGTGCAGTCACGAAGTCACCAGGCTTTTACAATCGGATCAACACACACACAAACCCACATGGGTGTGTGTTGGATCAACACACACTTAGTCATATGGTGTGTGTTGATCCAACGGTGAAAAACCCGGTGACTGCAATGGGTGAAATCTAACGTCAGAGGCAAATAGAAGAACAATTAAATCAAAGAATCACTGCCTGCTAATTCACATTTCCAAAACATGAAGCCAAATGAATACACACATGTTCATCTTTTTAATCAGTAGTGTACATGAACAATCCCATCTTCGTATCTCATCAGAATCCATGTAACCTAAAACAAATTATGGATTCTCACATTCACTTCGCCAAGTCGTAAGAAATTCGAACAAAACAACCTCTAAATTCAGATGTAACAAAAGAAAATCCGAGCAAGAAATGCTAAATTATGAAATTCCCCTTTTCTAACTTGCTGACTCGTAAATCNAAAAACAAAAAAAAAACAAAAACAACAACAAAAAACAAAAAACAAACAAAGAGCCCTATCAATTAGAAACATGTCGAAATAGAACGAAATCAACGTGAGAAGAAGAGCTTCAAAATCAAGAGATGGACCTTTCGGTGTTTCCAGGCTGCGAATTGAGCTTCAGTAATCGAATTAGGGTTTGGGTTTGGAACGGTACGAGATATCGCTAATTCGGGTTCTGCTCCTTGTTGATTCTCCTCTGCATCTGCACCCATTTTTTCCGATGGCCGGTCTGGAGTCCGGCGGCAGGATTGTGATGAGGGGCTGTATTAACGTGGGTTTATTTATATCACCACTAAAAAAGAGGCAATTTCTGTAAGACTTCCGTAAGTTCGATTCATAAACATAACTTGATCTCGAGAGTATTTGAAACTCGCTTTACTTATTTTTTTTTTAATTTCATTTAGTTAATTCTAGCAAAAAATTTTGGGAGGGCCTGAAGCAGTTATTGAAATCAGATTGTGTTTGTTCAACTCGAAAAAATTTGGTCAAATATCACTTATACATTTAAATGAGCCAAGCTAGAACGACTATTCAAACTTTCTTATTAAACAAATCTAGTATATTGAAGTTTACACAAATCGAGTTTAAACTCATATTTTTATTTATTTGTTAAATAGTCGAGCTGATCAGACTCATTTGTTAAACTATTACAGACTTAAACATGAGGTATTCAACTTTACTCGGTGGGAATAATATTTCGAGGGGAACTATGATTTAATATCTCTCCCTCGCACACATACACACATATATAGGCGTAAAATTGCATTCTAAAATGGATAAAATAATTAATAAGTTGCACTATAAAAGACATAACTTCTTAATTTTGGTAATTTAAATGCTCAACATTCTTTACACTCACGAAACTCATAGATAATTGACTCGATATTAACACAAATGCTATAATTGATAAGCTGCCTAATTGTTAGACATATATATTTTCCTACGAAAATGCATTGTTATACTATAAAATGTCATACTTTTATTTAAATTGCACAATAAAGTATGACATTTAAATATGAAAGTATAAATATATTTGGTGGAAAAATGTAGTTGTGTAACTAACTAACTATTATGTAGCCAAGAGAAGTCCTACTGCGACATTAATAGATCTAGCAATTCTCTTACAAGCCATTGAATTGCATATGTTGTGATGAGTCTACTCTCAGATCTGGAGTGAACCGGTGGTAAGGAGCTCAGATATGTTTGAATCGCCTTCGAACCGTTGCTAGACCGCGAGAATACCTGCAAAAACTCAACGCCGGAAACACCTCCGGCGTAGAGCCTCCAACGCTCAAGTCAGTGTATGAGAGAGATGAAGAGAGGCTGCACAGCAGCTATGAGGAAGAGTGGAGAATGAATGAGAGTTAAGGTTTTAGGTTACCTCACATTCTTTATATAGGAGTGAACACTTACCCGAAGTACCCGAAATACCCCTGTCGACTTGTGTGAGAGGTCCAAAATGCCCCTGTCGGTTCGTCTCCCCTTTGCTGCTGAGTCATCGCAAGATTCCCTTCTATCCATTGGAGGATAAGAGACTTCAGAAGACACCACAAGTATATTGGATCGTTAGTGCTGCATACTTCGAGGCGCACGGAGTCGACTTCGACTACCGAGAGGTCGACTTGGGTTTTCAACATATTCGGAGGCTACGATCCTGTTAGGCGTTAGCCTTCTTAAAGGAAGGTCGACTTCCGGAGGTCGACTTAAGGAAGTCGACTTACTAGAGTCGACTTGAGGATATCGACTTCTGGGGATCGACCTGTATGGATTCGGCTCTCATTTGTATTTGATGAGGAACCGGCATTGTAGAGGTCGATCTAGACGTGTCGATTGGGACACGTCGACGCGTGGCCAATCTGGCCGATTGTCTGGTCGGGTAAAACGTCCTTAGACCGGCATATAATAATATGGCTATCATGTTGCGTGTCCTTCTATTCCAAATTTACTCTTTAATTTTTTAATTGTACGTAAGATTAAACACAAAATATTATAAAACAACGTTGAAATGGTACTTACAAAAATATGATATAGTTAAAACTAATTAGTAAATAGAGTTATACAATAATTTGTAATGATTATTAGAATGCGTATATAAATTACATTCATACATCACATATGTATGTATTTATACTAAAAGTTTATGTTTAAAAAATGTAATGTTAGGTACAACCATTTTCATATAAAAATAAAGTCCTGGCAAGACTATTCTTACCCAAATTTATTAATCATAAAAATAAAAATAAATATGTAGAGTGGGTAACAACTCCCATCTACCATAATTATTTTATTTTTATTAATATCTAATCTTTAATATAAATTAAAGATTAATAATAACAAATAATTTATGAAACATTTTCAATATTATTTGTTTTTTTTTTTCCGGAACGATAGAGATATTATATCACGAAGAGAACAAATTACAAGGCCCCAACGGGGTAATCTACGGCCCCAACAGGGTAATGGGACAGAGGCCAACGGCCCAAACCAAAAACAGACCTAAAACAACAAACAAGAACGACAAACTGAGAGGACACGCACAAGGCGGCCTAGATAACTCCAAAATCGAAAATAAAGGAAAATGAACAACAGAGTCACTGCACAATGCCTAACCTGTCGACATCTCCGAAACAAAAACAACAAACACACAAAGCAGACCAAAAGGACTAACAACAAAACAAACTAAAACAATAACGACTAAACGACTAAACGACCCTCCCCCGGAGAACCGACAAAACCGAATAAGCAGCTACAACCGACTCTAGGAAAGGCCCCTAGCCAAGCCCCGACCCCGGAAACTGCCGAAAGCCTAACACAAGGCGGGACTCCGCCCTCGAACCCCACCCAAAGGACGGAACCCGCAGACCGAGGGGTCATGCGGGTTAAAATTTTGAACATTAAGAAAAACTAAATAGTATAAACAGTCTAACCACATATGATTAACTATTATAAAAAATATTAGAAAAAACGTAATGAATAATATAACTTTTATAATTTTTAAGGATCATGACAAATTAATTAAACTAAAAAAGTATTAAAGTTATTACTAGAACAATTGTTTATGCGATTTTAATCAATTTGACTATATCACTAAAACCATTTAGCTTTTTTTGAAGAAAAATAATTACTTAATGAGATGTAAGAAAAAAATATATAATATTGATTTTATAATAAATATTATTTTAAAAAAAATTGTAATATAATTTTTTATACTTATATAACTTTATACTAATTAGAGTGATATATAATTAGTTATAATAGTAGCTAATATACGATATAAAACATAATTATTATATAATTAATGTAAAATATAACAATGTATTACCATAATTAACCTAAAAATCAAAAAAATTAAAATAAATTATTTTCCTGCAATTATATAATTAAATAGATAATTTCCTTTTTTATTTAGCTTAAGTCGATTTGTGAAGGGTTGATCTCAACTCTTAACAAGTTTATGAGATAGTTAGCTAAATGAGTCAAGCTCAATCATCTATACTTATATTAAAAGGTATACCATTTATCAGATTTAGTATAAAGAAAAGTCAACAACATTTCTTGCATTACTATTTCCGTATTATACAATCTATACTTATATAAAAGGAGATTCTATTTACTATCCAGAAAAGTTAACTGCATTAAATGTCATTACTATTTTGATATTATAATATTTTATTTATTTAATTGATTTATTTATTTGTTTTATTTTAAAAAGGTAAGTATAATAAAAAGATTTTAATAATAATAAAATCAAATACCAAATAAAAATGTACACTTTGACTTATTTGATTATATTTGGTATTTGATTATACCAAATATATTCCTATTTAATATATACATTAAATACTTACTAAAGTATTTATTTGTTTTATTTGTCAAAGTTAAGTATAGATTTGTTTATATTATCAAATTATAAAAAAANGCGCGAGACGACGCGCGCGAGGGAGCCGCCTGCGAGAAGACCGCATCCGCGCGCAACGCGTACAGGCACGCGGGCGGGTGCGGTAACGCGCGAAGGACAGCTGGCGGGTGCATGAGGCGCGACGCGCAAGTACTAGCGAGCATGAGTCCTCGAAGGACTAGGAGTACCGCGCCGCCTAGGGATGAACGGCGCGACTTGGGGCGCAAGGCAGAAAACGTGTGTGACGCGTGGGGCGCGATGGAGCCCATGACCTCGAAGGACAAGGACTAGCCGTCGCGACTAGGGTTTGGGCAAGGCGCAAGACGCGTGAAGTTTCTAGATGGCCAAGGGTTGATTTTCTTAGCACGATTAGGAATATTAGTATGGTTAGGATTTGGAATAAAAGGCATGTGCCTAATAATATCTTAGTAGTTTTGGTAAGTCTTTATTCATTAGATATTTAGTTTCTTTAGGACTTTATTTAATTCCATGCATTAGGAGTTCTTCTTAGACTAGGATTAGACTTAGTTTGGCATCTATAAATATGCCCCATTGTCATTCGAAAAGGGGATGTCTTGAATTAATGAAAAAGTCGACCCTTGTGTTCAAATTCTTGTGTTAGATTTCTTCTGAGATTTAGTGCAAAACCCTTGTCACGAGAAGGGCGTTTCATCGCATAGCTCGAGCAAGACGAGTGTGGCAAGGACATCCGTCCGAGCTGTCTCACCTATCGCGAGAAGATAAGGAGATTACCCTCCGAGTCGTCCGCAACCCTCGTCGAAGATCGAGTTCACACGACGTCCGAGGCAAGGTCACGAGTCGGGAACACGCGATCCTTCATCATACCCGCACCCGCCACGCCGTGACCACCTGCCGCGCCGCGCCTCAGCACCTCTCCGCGCCGCGCTCGTGCCGCGATCTGGACAGAGGCCGTTCTCCTTTCCCAGCCTCCACGCCGTGAAGACCCTCGCACCGCAACGCCTTCTCCCTGCCGCGCCGCGAGCACCATCACGCCTGGACAGAAAGCTCGCCCAGCACACTGCCGCGCCGTGCCACTCCTCGAGCCGCGGAGCCAACCCCTGCCACGCCGTGCCAAGGCTGCCACGCCGCGGCGCCTGTTTCCCTCGCCCCGCGCCACGCCTCTTCCACGTCGTGACTTGTCTTCTCCTATATAAACTCGATCGGGATTTTGACATAAGATTATCTCCCCTCCTAGGAGTAAAAACCCTAGGCCCGATAACTCCACGACAGAACTCCCTTCTCTACTTCTTCTTCTTCTTCGTTTTTCCTTTTCTTTACACCTTTATTTTCCAT